TAAGTATCGTTTGCACTCGACCAGTATAGCCGAAAACAAATGGCGAATACACTTCACTCAGGAAAGGGACGTGAGAACGAAAAAAATCCATGAGTTTTCCACAGTGGCCATACAGCACGGGAGGCTAATCAAGCAGCTAGACAAATTGATGGTGGAGGGTACCGAACGAACAGCGAAGAAATAGTAGGTTATGTAAGCACCAAACAAACTACTGATGAGGAATTTCGCATTGTGTAGGTCAATAAAGGAGTAATCTCGAACCTGTAACATGCCTCTCAATGGAATGCAACATCTAGATAAATAACATTCCCCGAGAATTCGTCACAACCGCGTTTACAAGGTCTTTGGTTCTCAACCGGTTAGAAACATAAACAAACTTTGTGTGCCTAATAAGGACCTTGCCGACATATATTGCAAAGAGAAAAAACCATTTAGTAGGCTTTAAAAACTACCAGACATGTTTTTTAGCTTTAATCTTGAGCCCTACAATTTTACAATACTTAAAGTATTTGAAGCAGACACGTTTTTCATTTTCTTTAACTTTAACTAGGATCAGTATGAATTTTTTCACGAGGCGAAAAGAAGGCGTTATTTTAAGGAGGCGAATTTACCTCGGTGATCGAGAATCCCTGAACCCTTCACAACGGAATGATTCGGACCGACGTCTACATTTAGTTTCACCCTATTTCCTGGTCCACAGACAAGCTATTATCAACTGATGCGACACCGCCGTGAACTATCTGGAAAAGTTTTGTGTCTGAATTTTCCGTCCTGAACCCGTGTTTAGGTGTCGGAATGACACAACGGTTCTCCTCCCATACAGAACAGTGGCTCGTCCCGTTATTCCTGTAACATACATGTTCTAGACCAGAGTTTCACCGTCTTTTCCTGGAAGCGACTGATGGTCAACAGGTGTATGCTGCCCTGGATTTGATTGTGAGAACGAACCTAACTCCAGATCCAGTTGAAGCTGCCGAGGAGACCAGGTACGGTTCCTGAGTCTGATGCTATCTCTTGACTTGCGCGGTTGGCTCTTTGGTGCTTTCGTGTAGTAACGAATATGTTTTGATGGCTGGCGCGGGAGGTGTACCAAAGGGGAGCGCCGAGGATATCGCTCGAAAGAAGAAAGGAGCAGTGTAATGCTTTGTTTATGTGACTACCGGACGTTGGGCTGTCACTTTAGGATTTGTTTGGTCCCTGTACACGTAAGCTAGCCTTCGGGCCAAGCTGAGACTCCATTTGCCTAGTCGTCTTATGTTTCCTACCACCCTATGGGAAGCCTCGGGACGCTACAATAAAATGGAGTTGAATTTATGTATTCTTGGATGTGAAGAAGGATCGGGTCTTGGTTTAGCCGAAACGCCAGCTCACACGTACAACAGCAGGACGAATGCCAACGTAATCGCCAGACATCAGGTGAAAATATAAAAAAATATTAAAAGTTTTAATCCCCTTCACCCCATTAAGACCACATGTATTCAGAACAACTTAATGCATTTTTCTACCTAATGAGCATGGCGTCCCGAGACCTCCTGGCGGGTATAAGTAGTCAGTAAGTGCAGTTGGATACAGGTATTCTGAAGGCGACAGGACATATGAGCCTGGGCATGACCCGAAAGCCAGCCCACGTGTACAAGAGCCAGATAAATCTTAAAGTGACCGCCAAACGTCCGGAAGTCACACAAACACAGCATTACAATGGGGAATCTAGAATGCTACAAAATGATTAGCCCACTCCGTCTTCTCGTAGCAATCACAATACGGTTCGCCCATTTCCACACTTGTCAACATTTTCTCACCGGATCTGCAAGCCTCAAAGATTCCAATGATTCGCTAAGCTATGACTGAAAACACTCTGGACATGGGCGATGGCACTAAGTCCTATGCCGGGTGCCGTGACCACTACAAGTACTCCTGTTTTGGCATGGCATAGTAACCAGCGCGCATGCAGAGCTCCACATAACGCCCTCAACTGCAGTCCAAAATTGTGTACAACATTTCAGGCAACTGCACAAGACCAACAAAATCGCACCACAACCCAAGCACATTTACCGCATTTACCGCTTTATTGCACCTACCGCCACACTACCATCCACCGTACTACTAACACTACT